TCTTTCTTTCTTTCTTTCTTTCTTTCTTTCTTTCTTTCTTTCTTTCTCTCTCTCTCTCTCTCTCTCTCTCTTTCTTTCTCTCTTTTTTGCCTGCCTGCCTGCCTTCTTAGTTTTTTTCTTTCTTCCGTATCTCAAAGAAACCTTAACCTGCCCCCTCCCTTCTCTCACCCTTCCTTCCTTCCCTCCCTCCCTTCTTCCTTCCTTCTTCGTTTCTTTTTTCCTTCCTCCTTTCCTCCCTCCCTTCTTAATTTCTTTCCTTCCTTCCTTCCCTCCCTCCCTCCATTCTTCCTTCCTTCCTTCTTAGTTTCTTTCTTTCCTTCCTTCCTTCCTTCCTTCCTTCCTTCCTTCCTTCCCACCCCGCCTCTCTATTTCTCTTTCTTCCATCGACCTACAAGCCTCAACATATTCCCTGCCGGAGCCCCTGCAAATAAACCAAGCTTGCAAAACGTGGTTTGCATTTTACAAAAGGAGAATGCCTTTCAGAAGCTGGAAGAACCCATATTACATTTTCTTGTTTGTAAAGGCTTCTATGTCCGTGTCAGCCGCCTATTTCATTGTAATCGGAATTATCGCCTTCCATTTTCTTTAAGGTTCCCCTAGAGATGGATCCAGACCTTCTAAGCAAAGAGCGACCGAAGGGTGGTTGTGTCCCTCGTGTAAGGATTCTTCAAACTCCAGGAACAAAGACATAGCCGGTGAGACAAACTTCTGAAGACAGGGACAGCCCTGAACAGTTTAAAAGTTTTTCTCCATTTTATTTTTATTTGTCTTTTAATGACCCCATAATCCCATACATCAAGGGGACGCGGTGGCTTAATGACCATCGTAGCGTTTTCCCAGCATCCCGTAATCCAAATTCGGGCGCTTGGCAACTGACTCATATTTGCGACCTTCGAGGGGGAAACCACAACCGTGTGACGAGGTTAACCAATGCAAGGATTCACTTAACAACGGGGGGCAAGACAAGCCGTAAAATGGCCCTTGAGAAATGTTTCACTTAGCAACATAAATTTGGGGCTCAGCTGTGGCCGTAACTCGAGAGCCACCTGTACTGTGTGGTGCCGGAGATTTCTTCCCCACCGCCAAGAATATTTAAAGGATATTTTTAAAATAAAAATAAAAATGGGCCCAAGGGGACTGTTCAATATTTTATTTCCTTGTCCTCCTCAGGAGCAGGAGATCGCAAGGAGAACGCTCCAGAAGAAAGCTCTAGAACCCAACCAAAGTTTAACCAACACCAGCAACCAAAACAGGCCGGCCTCTGGTACTTGGCGGTGCCGTCTGCAGCTACCTCTCTGAATTACATCCCAGCTATTCCCTTGGCACAATACCCCATCTCCTCCATAATGTAAGTATGGCTTTTCCCAACATGTGTCTGTTATATATATATATATACACACATGAAGAACCGTTGCAGGAATTTGGGTTTGCCAAGGTAAGAGTAGCGCCCATTTATTTGAGGGGTCCTTGGTGCTCTCTGAGCTGGGTGGTTTTCTTGCGGAACATTTCATTACCCAACTAGGTAATGTCATCAATTCTAGAAGGGAGTGGGGTTTGCAGGGGGAGAGGAGGAGGACGACTGTGGGGTCCTTAGTGCTCTCTAGCTTTGTTGTTTACTTGCAAACATTTCATTACCTAACTAGGTAACATCATCAGTGCTAGAAGGGATTGGGGTTTGCAGGGAGGAGGGAGGGAGGAGGAAGAGGAGGAGGAGGAGGACTGTGGGGTCCTTGGTGATCGCTGAGCTTTGGTTTTTTTCTTGCAAACATTTCATTATCAAACTGGGTAATATCATCAGTGCTAGAAGGGATTGAGGTTGGGAGGGGGGAGGAAGAGAAGGAGGAAGAGGACAACGATGACGACTGTGGGGTTCTTGGTGTTCTCTGAGCTTTGTTCTTTTCTTGCAAACATTTCATTACCAAACTAGGTAACATCATCAGTGCTAGAAGGGAGTGTGGTTTGTAGGGGGGGAGGGGGGGAGGGAGAAGGACTATGTGATCCTTGGTACTCTCTTAAGATTTGTTCTTTTCTTGCAAACGTTTCATGACCCAAACTAACATCATCAGTGCTAGCAATCAGGATGATGAGCAGCACTGGTGGTGTTCCCTAGTTTGGGTCTGCAAGGAAATCACCAAGCTCAGAGAGCACCAAGGACCCTGCGCTACAAATATTCTCCTTGAAAGCTAAGGTCTGCTTGGAGTTGATCTTGGCAACGACACCACATTAGCTGGCTTGTTTGGCTTCTCTGTTGAGCTGGAAGCCACATGCATATCTCATCCAACCCAGGATCCACACCTCCCAAGGTTAACTAGGTGCAGGCATCTGCCGTGATGGTTCTTTGACGTCTCCATTTTTCCTCTTTTCTTCCCGGACAGCTATTCTCCGCCACCCGTCACTACCTCAATCTGCTCTTCGGTAGCTCTTCCGGCTTATGATGCCACCAGACCGCAAGAATCAGAGTGGAAAACATCACCGCAGCGTGTCCGGGAGTATCACTGCTGCTCCAGGACCTTCTTGCCTTCCACCAGTTTGGAAGACTTAAACTGGACTTTAAACCGGGCCGTGGAAGCTGCTAAAGACATGAAGTTCACCACCGAACAGATGAACAAATCTCTAAGTTGGGCCTTAAGGAAAGCCAGGAGCCCCAGGACGTCCTGTCTCTTCTGACCAGAATGGACCTAAGAGAAGAGAAAGCCACGGAACGAGGGAAACCAATAAAATGGACCAAGTTGCTTGGCTCGTTGGGACTCCGCGCATGTTTTGTTGGGTTTTGTGTGCCAAAGAACAACGCCTGCAACCCCTTAGTTGACTGGGGAGAATAACGTATCCTCAGCGTTTGGGAAAAGTGGACTTTTGCAACAGTGCTTCCTCTATTTTGCTCCCTTCTTCGAACAATTGGGATGCCTTCTGCTATTTTGGAAAGCCTCTTCTTTTGGACCTGGGCTTTGTAGCTTCCTCTCAGGGATGTTGCTATTAATAATGTTCATAATAATAATAATACCGTAGGAATAATAATAAATAATAGGCAGCTTGGACACAAGAGGCAAAGGTGAGGAAAGAAAGAAACAAGATGCCTGCCTTCTTCGAATACATTCTAGGGATTTGAGGTGTCCATTGCGGTCTCTGAGCTTGGTGGTTTTGTTGCAGACATTTCATTACCCAACTAGGTAACGTCATCAGTGTTTCAGTTGGGTAATGAAACGTCTGCAAGAAGACCAACCAAGCTCAGGGAGCAACAAGGACCCCACAGTCCTCCTCCTCCTCCCACCCCTCCTTCTTGCACTGAAGATGTTACATAGTTGGGTCATGAAACATCTGCAAGAAGACGAGCTCAGAGAGCTCCTCCCCCCACCCCCCCCCCCCCTCCACTCCCTTTCACACATAAAATGATACAGATGGATCCTGAAACACGTGCAAGAAAACAAGCAAGATCAGGACCAAGGACCCCTTAGCATGAAGGCTATTGTAGACGTTTTTAACTCAGTTTAGGGCTTTGGAAGCAGGATTCTTTCTTCTGTGCCTGTTGTGCAGTTCCTGGGCCTCCCGTTGCACTATTAATATTAATAAGGGTTTTAATAATAAAGAATACAGAATAATAATTTTTAAAGGCCATTATTTTATTTTTATTTTTTACTTTTTGTGGCAGCTATACCTGCTTGGACCACAGGAGGGCACTGTTTCCTGTCCCTGAAATGGTATAGGCAGGGCTTCTGCTAAAGAAGGGGTTGGACTAGAAGACCTCCAAGTGTCTTTCAATTCTGTTGTTCTGTTAATTAAAAACTGAACCAAACGGAAGCAAATAATTTTGCCTTAGAGCCGGCTGTCACCAGAGCCTGTTGCGGGTTTTATCGTAATGTTTCCTTAGCAATCTACGGCCCCCTTACAACACAAACACAATTATTCTGTAAATATTGGTGCGTGTCTTTTGTTCACGGAGTCCCCTCCGATAATAAACACTGTAGTGAAAGTGACCGGTGAGGAATATGGTCTCTACCTGAGCGCCAATTAAAAAGGAAAAGCAAGATGCACAAGGAACAGCTCCTTAACACCACTGAAAAGGGGACATGACGGGGAGGCAAATGTTTCTTCAGAACTCAGGCACCCCAAACATGCATGGAGCTAAGATCCCTGAATTTGGGAGAGAAAACCCCTCTACTTTTGCAAAGGGGGGTTCTTGGCCTCCTGAAAATAGAAACCACCAAGTAATCCAGGTAAAGCAAAAAGTGTTCATTAAGGGGGGGAAGGTCAAGTTTTTTTTTAATAGGGTATAGAAACAAAGGATATGTACATTTGGCACATGTGATGTCAAATAATAAAACAATAAAATACATTGATTGCCTGTGAAGTTTGAACAATTGATAAGTTGCTGAAAAGGTGAGCTCTTGCATAGGAAAGAAATGATCTTGGCTAAAAGAAAAGACTATCTGCAAGATAAAAGGCCTTCAGCCCCCGGGTGATAGGATTAGCCCTCACTCAAGATCCAAACTTGGACAAAGCCATTAAGCCATAATAGGAATTGCCCAACACCCTTTTGGAACACAACCCTCTTCATCACATTGTCCTATTAATAAGGTGCTAATAATAAAGATACAGGATAGTAGCCTAAAAGCGTTTTTTTCCTGGCTGTTATTCCTTCTTGGGCCACAGGATGGCACTGTTTTCCGTTTCCAGGGTGCTGCAGAACAGGTAATACGAGGCTGCAGTACCTGCTTTCACCACACGATGGCAAGATATTCTGCCCCTCAGCATTGAAGTTATCAAACAGGCCTCGGATGGCCTCAATAATAAAACAAGATAAA